AGCAAAGCCCCGATGTGAAATAAATATCTTTTATTGTTGTCATCGTCATAATTGTTGTAATTATGAACACCGAGCTGTTGCAATACTCCAGAAATTTTGCCAAAAAACAGCAACCATTCAACGGCACCGCTGCGTCTCTCAGGACCCAACTATGCATACAATCTCCCATTTAGAAGAGAAAAAAAAGAAAAGGAAAAATAAAAAATATATTAAAAAATTATGCGTACCACTGATATACAGATCTGATATAAACAGGCATATTGGTCACAAACCAATTAGAATTATAAACATGGCTTCTTTTACAATACACAGACCAAACATGTGGGATATAAGTTTCCTTTAAAAAAAAAAAAAAAAGAAAAAAAAAAAAGGTACAATTTCATTTTTATACATTTGTACATGATTTTCTTTTTTTCCTTTTTTTTTTAACGCTCTCACCCCCTACAGTCAGAATGCTCAAGGCATTTCAGGCGCAGTGTCCAATGAGCAACATCTGCAGTAAATGCACATTAACACACACACTCACACGTTTATTCATTCACTCATTCAGGAGTGGCAGCAGTGGCTTTAAACGAGAACTACAGGTGTATCTTGGCGCTCCACAGGTGACAAATACTGGTACCGAAGAGTTAATCCACTGTGGTGAACGAGGCCAAGAATGAGACATTACATTCATGTCAAGGTTAACTGAACCACCATCATAATCATCATCATCCATCTCTCGCACTCATACACAAAGTAATTTTTTTTTAAAAATGAAAAGAAAGAAAAACAGTCTTTAAAAATGTGCAAAGAAAAAGTCGCCGAGCCGAGCTGCACGAGCGCAAGGAACCGTTAAGGGGGAGTGGGAGGGCATCAGTGAAGAACCAATAGTGCATAATGGTAGTGCGTATCTATGACGACCAGTGTTGGCGATCTCCACCAGACGGCTTGCCGTGAGCCACCTGAAGAGCCAAAGGAACGTACCACTGAGAAGATGCATAATGTGAGTGTAAAACTGAGTTTCCACAGAGCAAGAAAGGCTTAAAAGTGTCTTCAGAGGAAGTCGGGGCAACAGAGATCAAAGAAACTGTTCCCTGTCTGTTTTTACAAAGATGCAGTCAGAAAAATCCGACTCTGTAGTAATACCTAAACGTCACTACGAGACATTAGAAGTGCATAATTATTTGTATTTTTTAAAATACTCTGATAAAAATCAATCTTCTGCAGGGGTTTCGGGGTCGGCCCTAAGAAGCTGATCTGAGTCTTTGAAGCTTCAGCAAGAATTATTTGTAATTATTTAGAGCTTTTCTTTAGCTACGGTGTTTAAAAGACCCATCAAACTGTATAAATGAGAAGGCCAAGTAAACAATGTGATATTAGTTAACTTCACCAATCAGATTTAAAGAAATGGGAGCGGCCACACACAGGCAGCTGTAAGCTAAGCATCTCAACTGCTGTTTGTGCTGTTGGAGCATTTTAATGTGGTTATTTAATAAATAAAACAATCTGAGCTACAGCTCGTCTGAGAAGTTTACAGTTCATTCTAATTAGCATTCTGCAACAACAAGTCACGAACGCAGCTTGCTAACATGTTGCCACCCGTAATCGTGCTACACGTTACCACGTCACAGAGACTATTTAGCGTCCCAATTTATGAACAGCTATTAATATTGGGTGTAATCAAAACAAGTGGAAAACCATTTAACAGTTTTTGGATTTGCATATATAACAGAAAATATGAACTTCACAATCAAATATTTGGACAACGAAGCTTCAAAGGCCTCCAAGTGCTACAAACAATGTTTGGATCATTTAATTCATTAACAAGTGCCAGAAACACACACAAGTGTGACTCTCTAAGCTAAAATCTAAGTTTATTTACCATCACAGACCCAATAATCTATCCACCACAAAAAGCTTGTCCTGGTAATGGCTCATTCAGCAGCAAAGACGACGAGGAGAGGTGCTGTACATGTGTGTAGGAGAGCCAAAGGTGGGGATCTGAGCAGGAGTTTAATTTTAGAGAGTCACCATCACTTTTCTCTGCTGGTCAAATGTTGCTGA